TGCACCCAAAACCATAAGATACCTAGGAGTAAATTTAACCAAAGAGACAAAGGATCTGTACTCAGAAAACTATAAAATACTCATGAAAGAAATTGAAGAAGACACAAAGAAATGGAAAAACTTTCCATGCTCATGGATTGGAAGAACAAACATTGTGAAGATGTCAATGCTACCTAGAGCAATCTACACATTCAATGCAATCCCCATCAAAATACCATCCACTTTTTTCAAAGAAATGGAACAAATAATCCTAAAATTTGTATGGAACCAGAAGAGACTCGAAATAGCCAGAGGAGTGTTGAAAAAGAAAAGCAAAGCTGGAGGCATCATAATTCCGGCTTCCAGCTCTATTACAAAGCTGTCATCATCAAGACAGTATGGTACTGGCACAAAAACAGACACATAGATCAATGGAACAGAATAGAGAGCCCAGGAATGGACCCTCCACTCTATGGTCAACTAATCTTTGACAAAGCAGGAAAGAATGTCCAATGGAAAAAAGACAGTCTCTTCAACAAATGGTGTTGGGAAAATTGGACAGCCACATGCAGAAGAATGAAACTGGACCATTTCCTTACACCACACACAAAAATAGACTCCAAATGGTTGAAAGACCTAAACATGAGACAGGAGTCCATCAACATCCTAAAGGAGAACACAGGCAGCAACCTCTTCGACCTCAGTCGCAGCAACTTCTTCCTAGAAACATCGCCAAAGGCAAGGGAAGCAAGGGCAAAAATGAACTATTGGGATTTCATCAAGATAAAAAGCTTTTGCACAGCAAAAGAAACAGTCCACAAAACCAAAAGACAACTGACAGAATGGGAGAAAATATTTGCAAATGACATATCAGATAAAGGGCTAGTATCCAAAATCTATAAAGAACGTATCAAACTCAACACCCAAAGAACAAATAATCCAATCAAGAAATGGGCAGAAGACATGAACAGACATTTTTCCAAAGAAGACATCCAAATGGCCAACAGACACATGAAAAAGTGCTCAACATCGCTCGGCATCAGGGAAATCCAAATCAAAACCTCAATGAGATACCACCTCACACCCGTCAGAATGTCTAAAATTAACAAGTCAGGAAATGACAGATGTTGGCAGGGATGCGGAGAAAGGGGAACCCTCCTACACTTTTGATGGGAATGCAAGCTGGTGCAACCACTCTGGAAAACAGTATAGAGGTTCCTCAAACAGTCGAAAATAGAGCTACCATTCAATCCAGCAATTGCACTACTGGGTATTTACCACAAAGATATAAATGTAGGGATCCGAAGGGGTATGTGCACCCCAAAGTTTATAGCAGCAACGTCCACAACAGCCAAACTGTGGAAAGAGCCAAGATGTGCATCAACAGATAAATGGATAAAGAAGAAGTGGTATATATACACAATGGAATATTAAGCAGCCATCAAAAGGAATGAGATCTTGCCATTTGCAAGGATGTGGATGGAACTGGAGGGTGTTATGCTGAGTGAAATAAGTCAATCAGAGAAAGACATGTATCATATGACCTCACTGATATGAGGAATTCTTAATCTCAGGAAAGAAACTGAGGGTTGCTGGAGTGGTGGCGGTTGGGAGGGATGGGGTGGCTGGGTGATAGATATTGGGGAGGGTATGTGCTATGGTGAGCGCTGTGAATTGTGCAAGACTGTTGAATTACAGATCTGTACCTCTGAAACAAACAAATAATGCAATATATGTTAAAAAAAAAAAAGAGGAAGATAGCAGGAGGGGAAGAATGAAGGGGAGTATGTCAGAGGGAGAGACGAACCATGAGAGATGATGGACTCTGAAAAACAAACTGAGGGTTCTAGAGGGGAGGGGGGTGTGGGAATGGGTTAGCCTGGTGATGGGTATTAAAGAGGGCATGTTCTGCATGGAGCACTGGGTGTTATTAACAAACAATGAATCATGGAACACTACATCAAAAACTAATGATGTAATATATGGTGATTAACATAACAATAAAAAATTAATTAAAAAATGAATTTGGATGTTCTCTCTGGGTTTTCTTAGGGAACCAGCCAATAGGACCTGGATCTCTGGTCTCCCAGTGAGAGGGACTGCATCTGAACTCAGTTGGCAATGGTACTATTACTTTCTTCCAACTAAGGCTTTCCATGAGACTCAAGATATGCAGATACTGAGTAGCTGACTTTCTTGGACAAGTCTTTTTTTTTTTTTTAAGATTTATTTATTTATTTTAGAGAGAGAGAGAGCACTGCAGGGGGAGGGGCAGAGGGAGAGAGAGAGAATCCTAAGCCGACTCCCTGCTGAGGGTGGAGCCTGATGTTTTGCTCAATCCCACAACCATGAGATCATGACCTCAGCAGAAATCAAGAGCCAGATGCCTAACCAACTGAGCCACCCAGGCGCCCCTCTTGGACAAATCTTATAAATAGTTGCTCCTAAACCAAGACTGCCTGGTGCCCCAGTGAATTTCCTGACAAGATTCCTTTCACGTTTGCCCTGCAAGAAGGGAGAGAAAAAAGGGGATGGAATTCCTCTCCTATAATGCAAACTCACACTGAAGATCCAACATAGTGCTCTGGCCCCAATATACTTCTCCTTGAGATGATGGCAGAATGGGGGAATCTGTGTTTTTTCCTTACTTTTGTAAACAAGTTTCCTTCTTCACCAATAAAACCTAGCCCTTAACCTAGTGGTTCTAACTTTGGTGTGGGTCAGAATTACCTAGGGGCATGTTAAAACACAGATTGCTGGTCCCACATCCAGAATTTCTGTAGACCAGGACTGGGGTCTGGGATTTTGCATTTCTAGAAAGTTCCCAGGAAATGCTGATATTATGGTCAAGGGACCACACTCTGAGAAACTCTGTCTTAATTCATGCAGTGGAAATCAGCTCACAAAGGGTCCCATTGCCAAGACCTTCACCTAGGAATTAATCATTGTCCTTTCTTGTGCCCTACTTTATAGTTTTACCACACAGGAAGGAATTTTTAACCAATAGATGACCTACTCTTCTCACTCATCCATCCAGTGTATAGCTATAATTAATTCATTTTCACTGTTCTATGATATTCTGTTGTGTGAATAAAACTATTGATAGACATTTGGCTTGTTTTCAGGTTTTTCCTAGGAAACTCTTATGAAGAGTCACTTCTTTAGTCATAGAATTACCCTTGCTTCCTGAAAGGACCCATCTAGAGGGAATCTTCCTGGGGTGCCTCGTTGGATAATTTGGCTAAGCATCTGCCTTTGGCTCAGATCATGACCCCAGGGTCCTGGGATTGAGCCCTGCATTGGGCTCTCTGCTCAATGGAGAGCCTGCTTCTCCCTCCCTCTGCTGCTCCCCCTGCTTGTGCTCTGTCAAATAAATAAAACCTTAAAAAAAAAAAAAGAGGGAACCTTTCTTCCCTTAGACCTTTCCCTAAATTCTAACGTCTTCTTACTGAGACACCCAATGGTGTGTGTTCTACCTTGTTCAGTGAGCACCTAACTCAACTTGTTCAAGTACATGTGTGTCTGTGGTCTTTGGCTGAAGGCTTTATATGTAAAATATCTTCACATGCCTTGTTGTGCCTTTTGATGAACACCAGTTCTTAGTTTTAGTTCAAGTTTTCAATTTTTTCCCTTTATGGCTAGTGCTTTTTACATCATATTTAAGAATTCCTGTCTTAGTCCAAGATCATATGGATATGTATTTTTTTGCTAGATATGTATTTCTAATATCTAAATTTAAAATGCCAAAAGTGAGGACAAAGGGAAAGAAATCTAAGAATGGCTCCCAGTAGTCAAAAGTTACAGAACCTTGAGATGATGAACCTCTGACAAAATAAGGTACTGAAGGGTAGGCTGTTTGGGGAAAAGATGGTATTTTTTTTCTTCCAAGTCTACTGCTCCTAAACTGTCCTCAAGGATGTTTTCAGGAGGTTTGAAATTTGTTTTAATGGCCTGCAAAAGTAAAAAGTTTAAAATCCAAATCCATAAGTGGCAAGTAGTTCATAGGTGCTTAAATTTCAAGTAAATTCACTCTGTTCTTTTTTGCTTTATTTTTTTAAATAAATTATTTATTTTAGAGAGGGGGAAAGGGAAGAGGCAGAGGGAGAGGCAGAGAACCTCACACAGACTCTTCCCAAAGCACACAGCCCAGGCCTCTCTGCTCTCTCCACCCTGAAATCAGGACCTCAGTGGAAACCAAGAGTCAGATGCCCAACGGACTGAGCCACCCTTGTTTTCTTTTTTAAACATCAAATTCCATTAACTGATAAACTGAGTCTAGAGAAAGCAGCCTGGGCAAAGATCATTGCGATGGGTGTTAAGAAAGCAGGATTTTAATCACGATTCTGCCACTAATCTAAGTGGCAATGGGGTTAAGTGTGGGGGTTTCAAATTCCTTAAATATGCAGGATAAACTACATCACCCTCAAGTTTCCTTCCAGAACTAAGTCTTCTTAAGCAATTGTAAAATGTATCCGTGTAAATCCAAGCAGCCAAGCGTTTGTCACGTGAGTCATAAGGCCATTTCTTCCCAGGTCTTAAACCATGTGGTGAACCCTACCTACGATCTTTTGGTAGCCTTACAGTTGAGGAGATTTGGACCACTACAATAGTTAAGGCCAAGCTCCCAGGAAATTTACAAAACAGGAACACCAAATGATGTTCTGACAGCCTTCATCAGACCAAAAGGCCAGGGCTGCTAGGTGCGGGGGAGGTGCACCTGCTTCTCACAGGTCTGGTCCCTCTGGTAACTTCTTTTTTTCTTTTTCTTTTTTTTGCATTCTCAGGCGCAAGGCTCTTTTCTTAAAATGAAGGCCTATTTCTTCCGTCATTCACTCAGGCCCCAGGGAACGGGTAAGAGCCACAGGAGCGGCCTATCGCCCGCGCCAGAACGCCCGCGCAGTCACGAGGGGAGTTTGCGGGGCGGTCGCAGAGGCGCGCCCGGGGCACGCTGGGAACGCGGGGCGCCGCGACCCGGCCTGACCCGGAAGGGCTGGTGCGTGGTAACTCCGGCTTCCCTAGCAACTGAGCAGGTGCTAGTCCTAACCATCCGCATCCTCTTGTTCGGACACCTCCCGGGATGCCACTGCAGGTTAGCGATTACACCTGGCAGCAGACGAAGACTGCGGTGTTTATCTCTGTGCCTCTCCGGGGCGTCTGCGTCAGAGATGCGGACGTGTTCTGCACGGAAAACTATTTGAAGGTAGGAACTCGAGTTGTGCCTGCCGGGTCCCCGGGGGTGTGGTCCGAAGCTTCTGAGAGCGCTTCTGTGTACACGCCACAGGCGCGTTCTTGCAGATAAGCGTCCTAAAATTTCGTTCCATTTTTTTTTTTTAAACCGAATCCCATAAGGTGATACCTCATCTTTAGACGGTTGTCATCAGACCAGAGATGATTTTTATCCAGGATTCCTTCATATGCCTTGTTAATCGAGTAAATTTATAGCAGGCATTTAAGAAAATGATCTTGGCCTCTATCATTTGTTTCTTAACGGCTGTGTCTTTATTTTGTGTAACTAAATCAACCTCCGTTTACCCTCTTCTGAATAGGTCAACTTTTATCCATTTTTATTTGAAGTGTTTCTCTATGCGCCCATAGACGATGAAAACAGCAAAGCCAAGATTGGGAATGACACTATTGCATTCACCTTGTATAAAAAAGAAGTGGCCATGTGGGAGACCCTTTCTGTGTCAGGTGGTAAGTTTTTTATTAAAAGATGTTCATCTGGTTGTGCTTTTTATATTTTATACCTTAAAATTTTTTTTCAGAACAATTTTCTAGAAGAAAAAGTAGGAACGTGAGCATGATTTAAATGACATAGTGCTTCAGCTACCACTTAAATAACTTAAAAATTGAATAATTCAAAAGTTAGAGCACATTTATAATAGTTCTCAAGCAGGTGTGGGCTTGTTTCTTCAGAGGATAAGGCCTCTTGATATGATCTTACTTTTTTTTGTATTAGGCATTAATGCATCTGGTAATCCTCGGAACAACCTATTACTTAAGTTACCACCCTCCCACCCCCGTTTTTGTTTTTGTTTTTGTTTTTTTAGGGTGAGGCTAGTAAGGTACAGAAGGATTGAATAATTGGCACAGGTCACACAACTAGTAAGTGGCAGACTGGAACTGGAGCTTTAGCGGTTTGACTCTAGAGCAGTGGTTCTTAACCCTGGCTACATATTTGAATCACCTGCAAAACTTGTAAATAATACACGTGTCTGAAACTCATCCTAGACCAATCAAATCAATTTCTGTGAGTGGGAAAAGCTTTTCAGGGGTTATAATGTGCAAAGCTGAGATCCCCTATTCTGTGTACTCTTAATGAGTATTCTGCCGCGATTGGCTTTGTGGGTCAGTAATTGCCCTCTACTGCTTTATTTTATTTTCTTCCTCCCTGTTCTAGTTGTCATGTATTCTAGGGCTTTATATCTACTGCCTGAAATTTTTCGTAGGCCTCTGGCATTAAGTCTTTAGTAGGAACTACTGAGAATGGGGAGATTGCAGTCATTTTTTTTAATTTATTTTTTTAGTAATCTCTACATCCAACATGGGGCTCGAACTCACTTTCCTGAGATCAAGAGTCATGTGCTCTTCCAACTGAGCCAGCTAGGCACCCTGCAGTCATTCTTTATATTAATTCTTTCTTGATATCTTGAAGTGGAATCTAATTTTGTAATCCCCAGGACCAGATAGAATTTTTCTCTAAAGTCTAGTATTCAGCTCAGAAAATACTGGCTAAGGTAGATTACCTAGCCAGGTTACTTTAGCTCTTTAGTGAGTTCCAGACTAACTGAAGAGTTTTTAAAAACCAGATTCTTGCTGTCCTACTCACTCCTTCCTTTGTGATTCAGTAAGTCTGAGATGGGGCCTGGGACTATGTCGTGAAACACACCCAGGGTGTTCTGACTCCTTACCTAAGATCAAATGTAAACACTTTAATTTATTTCAATTCTTATTGATAATCTTAATTTTAAAGTAATATGGGACCAGAACCATCACCTATTATAATGGCTTATTTTAAAATAAACAGATTAGGAGTGGTAGGACCCCAGGTAATTCTGATGACTGACCAGGCTTGAGAACCACTGACTTAAATGTCTGTGTGTGTGTGTGTGTGTGTGTGTGTGTGTGTGTGTGTGTGTGTGTCTGTCTCCAGGAAACATTCTGTCTGCCAACTTGTTAGGATATAAAGAAGAATCATGGAACACCTGGGTGGCTTAGTCGGTTAAGCATCTGCCTTCGGCTCAGGTCATAATCCCAGGGTCCTGGGATCAAGTCCCACATCAGGCTCCTTGCTCAGTGGGGAGCCTGCTTCTACCTCTGCCTGCCACTCCACCCTGCTTGTGCGTGCTCGCTCTCTCTCTCTCTCTCTCTGTCTCTGACAAAATAAATAAAAAAAAAAAAAGGAAGAATCATATCAGGAAACCTGTTACTTTTCCCTACATGACACTTTCTTCTATGTCAAATTCTCTTCTTAACCTGCTTGGCTGTCTTTTCCAGGAGTGGGAAGGGAATTTTCTTTCCTAATCATGATCTTCCTCTCTGTTCTATGCATCTGCTTGCAATTCACACCTACTTGATTCTTCTCTTTCATGGTAATATGGTCATCCATTCCAGATTTTGACTATTTAAACCAAGGCTTAACAAATTTTTTCTGTAAAGGACCAGATAGTATTTTGAATATTATGAGCCCCATGGTCTCAGTCACAATTACTTAGTTCTGCTGTGGTAGCACAAAAGCAGCCAATAGACAATACATATATAGAGACACCAAAATTTGAATTTTATCTAATTTTTATATGTTATATTATTTTCATTTTTATCTATTTAAAAATGTAAAAATTATTCTTAGCTTGTGTGCTAGAGGAAAACAGGCAGCAAGTTAGATTTGGCCATAGTATGCCAACCTCTGATTTAGACTAACCGAAACAGTCTTAAAACTAGTTTATGTAATAAGTAATGAGCATTGATTTTACTTCAAAAACCAGGTTTGAGATTCCTTCAGAAATCAACTCAGTTACACGGCAACTCAGTGAAATTATTTCTTTAACAAGATTGTTTTTCACATAAAGTGTGTGGAATCCAGTCTATATGCCAAGTTTTCCCCATCTTTCAGAACATATTTGCTTAATTTTTTCCTGAAATTTTTTCTTGGTATACTTTTCATTTCTTTTAGATGTGAAAGTAGGTTCTTTTGGTTTACCCCTGAATCTGGTCCAGTTGTCTGTCACTCTGTTATTAAACAGGAGGTGGGTTGGGGGAGGCTTCAGACTTAATTCCAGTCCTAAATCCTAGTCAAGATCTTGAATGAGCAAAGATTCCATGCTTTTTTTTCTTTTCCTTTTTAAGGCAATTTCTTTGAAAATTAAAATTCCAGACTTTTTTTAAACTGATAACTGAAATTTAGCATTCCCTTCAATCATGAATGTAGGCAACAAACAGTTGTATCAAGAAATATCACAAATACATTTATATCACAGAGTACATTTATCTTTTATACTCACTACTTTGAAATTATAGTATTTATTACACTTGTTGCTATATATTAATGCATTAATGAAGAAGTATATATATTTTTGTGATATTGTATATCGCAAAAAAACCCTCATCTTCTCTTCTAGGAGACCCCGTAGTGATGATTTATTGTGATTAGGGTTATAAGCAAATAGCCCTGGTTTCTTGACAGAGAGAAGGATAAATGCACACTCTTTGCCTCTATCCTCTCCCATCCCCTTCTGCCACTTCCCCGCTCTCATTTCACTACCCTCTCTCCCTTTTATATCCCTCTCCCTGTCCTCATCACTCCCCCCCTTTTTTAAAGATTTTATTTATTTCACAGAGAGAACGAGAGAGCAGAAGCAGGGGGAGTGGCAGGCAGAGGGAGAAGCAGACTCCCTGCCGAGCAGGGAGCCCGATGCGGGACTCGATCCCGGGACTCAATCCCAGGACCCCAGGATCATGACCTGAGCCGAAGGCAGTCGCTTAACCCACTGAGCCACCCAGGCACCTATCATTCCCCCTCTATTCGCCCTTTCTTTTGTTCCCACTTTCTCTCATTCGTATTTCTCTCTCTCTCGTTCTCTCCCTCTGTAGTAATTAATTGCTGTTATAGTTGCTTGCTTACTTTTTAATGTTAGCTTGGCCAGTTTAATATTGAGAAATGTTTTCATCTCTCCATGTGAAGTTTTGTCCCTCCCCCCCCAATCGCATCCTGGATCAGTATGTTAAGCAGTTTTCTCCTAAGTAAAACATTCATCATAATCCTAATTTAGTGATATTTCTTGTTTTAGTTGACAAAGAGATGATGCAAAGAATAAGGGAGAAATCTATTTTACAAGCACAAGAAAGAGCAAAAGAAGCTGCAGAAGCAAAAGCTGCAGCAAGGCGAGAAGATCAAAAATATGCACTAAATGTTATGATGAAGGTAAGTTGCAGATAGGAAAGTTCTCTAATTAAAGAGATAACAGTAAACTCTGTAAAGATGATTTATTCTAATCACTGTACTTCCTCACCTCTTTATTCATACTTTGGTTATAGGATTTACTATGTTATGGAGGCTATCTACTACTCACGTGTGTTCCTGAAAATCTGTATGAAAGTAGAGGGTATACAGGTTGGACAATAGATTTACTTGTTTCAGGGAGAATGTTCTATTTCCAAGGAATTAAAAAAATTATAATTTTCTATGGTAAAAGTGTTTTACTTTTTTAATCTTGGAATAAAGGACATAATTATTTAAAACAAGAAGAGCCTAGATTATGTCAATACTAAACATTGACATTAATATCTTTTTAACTGTTGAGGCTTCCAAGTTAAAGCTTTTTTTTTTTTTAAGATTTATTTATTTATTTTAGAGAGAGAGCACACAAGCAGGGAGAGGGGCAGAAGGACAGGGAGAGAATCTCAAGCAGACTCCGATTTCTGGCTGAGTGCAGAGCCTGAAGCTGGGCTCAGGCTCACTACCCTGAGATTATGACCTGAGCTGAAACCAAGAGTTGGATGCTTAACTGACTGAGCCACCCAGGCGCCCCTCAAGTTAAAGCTTTAATCAGCAATATATTTTTTGAGATATAATTCACATACCATATAATTCACCCGTGTAAAGCTTACAGTTTATTAGTTTATAGTATTTAGAGATGTGCGACCATCACCACAATCAATTTTAGGACATTTTCATCACCCAAAAAGAAACCCTGTGCCTGTTAAGAGTCACTCCCCATTTCTCTCATTCACTCCAGCCCCGGGCAACCACTAATCCACTTAATAGATTTACCTATTCTGACTAATTTTTACAAGTAATTTCTTATCTCATATTCTCATTTTGACATCTTGAAAAGATTAAGGAATCTATAACTAGCATTTCATCAAGAGCTCTGTGGACCTATGATGCTTCTTTTGTATATGGATTACTAGTATTGTGTTCATAATTCCAAGGATATCTCCACTTCTTTTATTACTTCTATTTGACTTTTATATATACCCTATGGTTATATAGGGTCCTTTACTTAAAAATTGAACACATGGTCAGCTGACCAAAGATTCCTGCTTTCAGTATACTTGAGTTCCATCTTTTCCTTATTGTGTTATCACTGCTGTCAGCCTTTTGATTTTATCATTTTCCTGAATTTTAAAAAATGAAAGCAAAATAATATAAAATTTGTGGTAACCGATAAATATTCCCTGAACTAATAAAATAGATAAATAATGGTATACATTTTGCTGTACTGGTAAAATAACAAAACTGGCAGTACCACCATACTGTGCCTTGAAGTTATTAATGTACTTATATCTGAAAGCCTGATTTGGTATTTGGAAAGGTGGTTTTGGGGTATTAGTATATAAAGTATGAAGCTGTAGATGATATTAAAGCGGAAAGCACCTATGAAAGTCTATAACCTATACTACAAACGGTCCATTTTGTTTGTTTCTTTCCTTCAATAGAGTTCAGAGTTGGGATTATGTTTTCTTTCATCCTTATTACAGCTATTGCCAAGTTAAATAGTAGGTGCTCAAATATTTGAATGAATTAATGTAAATACACTGTTCTGGGACCCTGTGACAGTAGCAAAGTTCTATTTTGATGGATAGATGCAGCTTTTTTTACTCTGTCCAATCTTAGACATTCAGAAAAGAATTTTCAAGGTTCAGTAAGAGTAGATGAAGAGCTAAAACAACAAAAGGCAACCTGTTATTAGCTTAAACCAAAAATTAACTTAAAACTTGATTTACATCTCAAAAAGTAATAGTTTTTTAGTAGTTATCTTTTTTTTAAAGATTTTATTTATTTTAGAGAGACAGAGAGAGAGAAAGGGAGTGCGAAAGAGCATGAACAGGGGAGAGGGAGAAGCAGACTCCCCGCTGAGCGGGAAGCTGGACACGGCCTTGGGCCTGGATCCCAGGACCCTGGGATCATGACCTGAGCCAAAGGCAGACACTTAACTGACTGAGCCACCCAGGCCCCCTTAATAGTAATCTTTTAAAAATAATTAGCAGGGCTGGTGCTAAGACTCATTATGTCAGTTCACTGTGCTGTATGTATTAGTCTACTTGGGCTATCATAACAAGATACCACAGATTGGATGGCTTAAATGACAGACATTTATTTTCTGACAGTTCTGGAGTCTAGAAGTCTCAGATTGAGGTCCAGCAAAGCCAGTTTCAGATGAGGAGTCCATTCCTGGCTTGTAGTTGGTGGAGAGAGACAGAGAAAGAAAGAAATCAGGTGTCTCTTCTTAGTAGGGCACTAATCCTGTTCTGTCAGGGCCCCATGCTTATGACCTCATTTAACCCTAATTACTTCATCAAAGTCCCCATTCCCAAGTACAGCCACTCTGAGGATTAAGGCTTCAACATATACATTTGGTGGGGACACAAACATCCAGTCAATAACACTGTGTAATAAACTATCCAAAATTTAGTGATGTAAAGGCACAAATACTTCTTTCTCAACATTCTGTCTGTTGGTGAGGCATTTCTTGTCAGCTGGGGCTGGATTTATTATGGCCAGATGTGCTAGGATGGCCTCACTCACATGTCTAAAACCTTGCCTGGAAGAGCTGTAGACTCTCTCTACATGTGATATTTCAGTCTCCAGGGCTTCTTGACTTCATAGTCCAGGTTCTTGGTAGCAAGAAAGGGAAAGCCCTAATGCACAAGCACTTTTAAAGCTTCTGTTGGGTCATATTTGCTAATGTCCAGTTAACCAAAATAAGTCATATAGCAAGCCCAGATTCAAGGACTGGAGAAAGAGACTACACCTCTTCTACGAAAGAGGGATTAAGTCATATTGCAGAGGGGTGTGCAGAGAGGGATGGGAGGAATTTGGGGCCATTTTGCAATTAACTTTACTCAATTAGTTTGAATTTAAAAGATTAGGGTTTAAATAATAAAGAGAACTTGACTCATCCAGCAGGAAAAGTTCAGAGATAAAGCAGTGATCAAATGTATTTAAATCAAGGCTCTGATTCCATTTCTCTGCATCATCCTTAGCACTGCCTTTCCTTGTGTCTGCTCATCCTTAGGTTGATAGTGAGATGATCCACGTCTGCATACAACAAAGCCCAGGGGAAGACAGGCTATTTTGTTGGCTCCCTTTTAAGCCCCATAAAACAATTGCTTTTTTTTTAATTTTTTTATTGTTATGTTAATCACCATATATTACATCATTAGTTTTTGGTGCAGTGTTCCATGATTCATTGTTTGTTCATAACACCCAGTGCTCCATGCAGAACGTGCCCTCCTCAATACCCACCACCAGGACAACCCATCCCCCTCCCCCCCTCCCCTCTAGAACCCTCAGTTTGTTTTTCAGAGTCCATCATCTCTCATGGTTCGTCTCCCCCTCTGACATACTCCCCTTTTCTTCCTCTCCTGTTATCTTCTTCTTTTTCTTTTTTCTTAAAATATGTTGCGTTATTTGTTTCAGAAGTACAGATCTGTGATTCAACAGTCTTGCACAATTCACAGCGCTCACCGTAGCACATACCCTCCCCAATGTCTATCACCCAGCCACCCCATCCCTCCCACCCCCAACCACTCCAGTAACACTCAGTTTGTTTCCTGAGATTAAGAATTCCTCATATCAGTGAGGTCATGTGATACATGTCTTTCTCTGATTGACTTATTTCACTCAGCATAACACCCTCCAGTTCCATCCACATCGTTGCAAATGGCAAGATCTCATTCCTTTTGATGGCTGCATAATATTCCATCGTGTATATATACCACATCTTCTTTATCCATTCATCTGTCGATGGGCATCTTGGCTCTTTCCACAGTTTGGCTATTGTGGACATTGCTGCTATAAACATTGGGGTACACGTACCCCTTCGGGTCCCTACATTTGTATCTTTGGGGTAAATACCCAGTAGTGCAATTGCTGGATCGAACGGTAGCTCTAATTTCAACTGTTTGAGGAACCTCCATACTGTTTTCCAGAGTGGTTGCACCAGCTTGCATTCCCACCAACAGTGTAGAAGGGTTCCCCTTTCTCCACATCCCCGCCAACATCTGTTGTTCCCTGACTTGTTAATTTTAGCCATTCTGACGGGTGTGAGGTGGTATCTCATTGAGGTTTTGATTTGGATTTCCCTGATGCCGAGCGATGTTGAGCACTTTTTCATGTGCCTGTTGGCCATTTGGATGTCTTCTTTGGAGAAATGTCTGTTCATGTCTTCTGCCCATTTCTTGATTGGATTATTTGTTCTTTGGGTGTTGAGTTTGATAAGTTCTTTATAGATTTTGGATACTAGCCCTTTATCTGATATGTCATTTGCAAATATTTTCTCCCATTCTGCCGGTTGTCTTTTGGTTTTGTGGACTGTTTCTTTTGCTGTGCAAAAGCTTTTTATCTTGATGAAATCCCAATAGTTCATTTTTGCCCGGGCTTCCCGTGCCTTTGGCGATGTTTCTAGGAAGAAGTTGCTGCGGCTAAGGTCGAAAAGGTTGCTACCTGTGTTCTCCTTTAGGATTTTGATGGACTCCTGTCTCACGTTTAGGTCTTTCAACCATTTGGAGTCTATTTTTGTGTGTGGTGTAAGGAAATGGTCCAGTTTCATTCTTCTGCATGTGGCTGTCCAATTTTCCCAACACCATTTGTTGAAGAGACTGTCTTTTTGCCATTGGACATTCTTTCCTGCTTTGTCAAAAATAAGTTGACCATAGAGTTGAGGGTCCATTTCTGGGCTCTCTCTTCTGTTCCATTGATCTATGTGTCTGTTTTTGTGCCAGTACCATACTGTCTTGATGATGACAGCTTTGTAATAGAGCTGGAAGTCCGGAATTGTGATGCCGCCAGCTTTGCTTTTCTTTTTCAGTATTCCTCTGGCTATTCTGGGTCTCTTCTGGTTCCATACAAATTTTAAGATTATTAAACAATTGCTTTTGATGTTGTAAAATATTAAAATTTGAACACATTTCAGTGAA